TACCACCACTACCACCACCACCACTACCACCATCATCACCACCACCACCACCACCACTACCTCCACCACTACTACTACTACTACTACCACTACCACTACAACTACCACTACTACTACTACTATCACTACCGCTACGACCACTACCACTACCGCTACCGCTACTGCTACCACCACTACCACTACCACTACCACTATCACTACCACTACCACTACTACTACTACTACCACTACTACTACGACCACTACCACTATCACTACTACCACTACCACCACCACCACTACCACTACCACCACCACTACCACTACCACTACCACTACCATTACTACCACCACCATCACTACTACGACTACCACCACCACTACCACCACCACCACGACTACCACCACTACTACCATCACTACTACCACCACTACTACCACTACCACTACCGCGAAGGTTCATCCACAATCGCGAAGCACTGGCATTTTTTTCGCATTTTACTCATCGCGATCGCGTCCAATTTCCCACAATCGCATAGAACACTGCTGTAGCAAAAAATCAGCAGCTAAAAATAGCTTAGAAATGGTTCGGAACCACCCCAAAACTCACCTGAGGTCCTCAGGACCACAACCAAACATGCGAACTAATCCTAAAACATCATTCAAACCTTTTTCAATCTTCGGAACGATCAAAACAACATCAAAACACAAATTTTACATTGGATTCAAGCCTACAAATTCCAAAAACTCTTAAATTACATTTTCGATCAAAAAGTCTATTAAACCTCGTCCGAATGACCTGAAATTTTGCACACACGTCACATTCAACACTATGAAGCTACTCCAAGTTCCGAAATTCCATTCCAGCCCTCGGATCAAAATCTCACTATCGAACCAGAAACTTCAAAAATTCAACTTTCGGCATTTCAAACCCAAATTAGCTACGGACCTCCAAAACACAATTTGAAAACGTTCATAAACCCACCCAACGGAGCTAACGAAACCATCAGAATTTTGTTCTGAGACCGTCTTCACACTGTTCCGACTACGATCAAATTTCCAGAACTTAAGCTCTCATTTAGGGACTAAGTGCCCGTAAACTCTCCGAAATTCCAAATAATTCCTCCCAGCAACTCACAATAGCAGAAACAAATACGAAAATGCAATTAATAGGGAATCGAGGCATAAATTCTTAAAACGACAGGTCGGGTCATTACATTCTCCACCTCAAAAACAAACGTTCATCCTCGAACATACTAAGAATTATTTTGAGGTTGCCAAATTGATGATTTTACTTTTACACCTATACTCTCGGTTGATCTCATGTTACCGCATTTGACATAACCCAACAATACCATCTCAGTTGAGATTATTTCATTTATCCATATTTGTAAACTTTAAGACAAAATTCTTACTCTCCAAACATTTTCAAAATGGTCCAAATTTTCACATAAAAACACGGTATTATTCTCATGTCAACACACATCAACTTTTAATAGCGCTTACATTATCCCCCACTTAGGGTAATTCGTCCTCAAATACACAACGTAACTTATCTTTTTCTTCGCATATTTCAATGTCCCGAATTTTATTTTTCTAACTCCCAAATATTTCAGAAATTTCGGCAGAGTCTCTCCTGTAATTTGGACTATCCATCTATTAGAGTAAAACTAAAAAATCCTCCTAACAACACATCTACAACTCAATAAAACACCACAATGTATATATCAAAAACACTAATCTCCGCATTACAAGCACAGTATTATCATAATGATATCTCGACATGAAACGCATCATATGTATGACCTTTAACCACATCTCTTGTTTTAATAGTTGTACATAATCGATTACAAAATTGCTAATTAACTTCATATTAACAAATTCTTGTTTCAAGCTTTCACTTTACTAACAACGTAGCATGAAGGCCTCATAATTACTTACCCAAATTAACGATTCACCATTAACGCCACCTGGGCACTCACTTTGTAGGCTAAAACTCAATAATTACAATACAATTTGGCAAATTATGCACAGAGATATTCATACAAGAATTTTCAAATAAGCCTCATAGGCATGACTCCGCATAAGTACTATAGTACAAATTTTAATTTCACAAAGGGAGAATTTAAACACAAAAACTTTTCACCACAAGGACCTCGTCCTTATATAACATCCACCGCAGCTTGTAGCCTGATTTAAATATTTCACATCATATAAAAATATGAGGATCTCGTCCTCAACTCCATACCCAATTAATATGCACATTGTGCCAACTGAAATTCTCTATTTCCTTTCTTTCTTCTTCTAAATAATTTTTGCTAAGCAAAATCACAACATATAATGAACCCTTATACCGGTAGGGCATTGTCGCACCCGCTTTTTCTAAATAAAAAGCGAAATCTGGCTTGTGACATTTGGGAGGACGACTCGTTCCCTTTTGGGAATTAGGTTTTGGAACTTGAAGAGTCGCCACTTAATGATTAAGTGCATTAGGACACTAAGAAAGGTTTGAGTTTGAAGAACCAAAGTTTGGGTAAGGGCTAGAAATTATCTCGAGGGGAAGGTGTTAGGCACCCCTCAAGATCCACTAGTGTGGTTCCCGGCCATGTTACAATTGTGACTTCACATAATCAAGTAAACAATTAAGGGCTCAAATAGGAGGGATTCGCATACAGCATTGCAAATAAGTTGAAACTTGAGGAAAGGTAAAGAGGGCATAAAGATTTAAACAATTCTAAAAGAAATAGACGAAAGCAAGTAAGAGGGAGGGGGTCCTAGGTTTATGATTAATATGGATCACATCAATGCAATATCCGACAATCGCTTCTCAGAAGAGGGGTTGCACGTGGTATTAATACACCGGTCATCATATCCATATCTACCCTTCCCACCCCGTCAAGGTATTAAAGCGCTGAATAGTATCGTTACTTATTGCATACTATTACCCGTCCCAATCCTATTAGTCCCGGATGCATTGAGACTACTAATCCTAAAGGGGAGGGAGTTGGGGCTTTTTCAGAGTTTCAAAGGGATAAAAATCTAGGCGACAAGCAAAACAATCAGCAGTTAAAGGATGAACAAATAGCAATTAAGGCTCAAGTAGGCCTCCTCATTCAAAGCGACAAGTTATTTAGCATGACTTACAAGTACTGGTTAGCTCTTTAATAAATTAAAGCGTAGGATAGGCTGATTCATCACATATTTCTCAGATGAGGAGTGTGAGCACGTGATTTTTGCTTCATGGAAACAACTCCAAAAGAAATCGAAAAAATAAAACAAGTTACCTTTGGGTACAATTTTGAGAATTTGCGTGACATTTTGATAATTGTTCTGTCCGTAAATGTTCGCCTTGCTATAGTTAAAAATACAAAAATACATGTTGCATGCATGTAGGAATTAATGGTACATTTAGGAATTAATTAACCATAATTTGGTTAAAAGAAAATCACAAAAAAATATGCATGTATATTTCTTGTCATTGTGTGATTTTATTTAATGTTTAATTTGTGTGTTAATTATTATAGGTGTTAAATAATATATGTGTAATTTTATTTTTGATTTTACAATTTATTTAGGATTTTTGTTTAATTTTGGTAATTAAAGAAAGAAGGAAAATGGGTGAAGTATCAAGGAAACTCGGATTGGGCCAGGTGAAACCAAAAATTCAGGCAAAAACCAATTACATTGACCCAATCCAAACCAGGTCTTTCAGAGACGCCCAAACGACGACGCATATGACATTTGATCTGAGCTATCCATCCAATCTAATCTAACGATCTCATGGCCTTCCCCAGCACCCGACCCGTTTAAACCTTAGACCGACCAGTCTTATTTAATTGAGACGACGCCGTTTCCTATTACAAAATAGATCCTGGCCATAGATCCAACTTTATCCAACGGCCAGGATCTAATCTCCTACCCTATATATAAATCCCTCCTCACACCCCACGCCCCCATAGCCAACCCGACTCCCTCCTCACTCGTCTCTCTCAACACCAGAGACGAACCCAGACCTCCCAAACCCTAGCCGCCCTAAGCCCCCTTCACCTGAAACCCAACGGCATCTATGCCGCCGGTCACCCCTTTAACACCATAGCACCTCCTTCACTCCCTAAACCCAAATCCCTTACTCCCTTGGCTCGAATCTAGCAGCATCTTCTCGAATCTTCAATCGAATATTCGAGCCAAGACCCAACCCATGCCAAACTATCCCAAATTGATACCTAACACTCCCCTGACCCCCCTTAGGCCTAAACCAATGAAGGTTGGGTTCGAATCTAACCAAAAACCCTCGAATCCCAAAAACACCCGTGTGAACCCTAGAAATCCAAAAGTTGGGGGTCTGTCCAAATCAACAAAGTATTGGGGTCTAATAGACCTTAATCGAGGTGTTCTCAGTTGAGAACACTTCGATTAAAGTCTGTTCGACCTCAAATGATCGAGTCTGGTTCAAGCCTGGGTCGTTTTGTTTTTGAGCTTCCAAGATAAGTTTCTCTTTCCCTTCTGTTCTTGCTTGAATTCTATTTGTGTTTGTTAGCATGTCTAGTTAATTTGTTGATTTTTCTGTTATTTTCTTTCAATTCTCTCCGTCTTCATAAGTCCTTTTATTTGGTCGACTCTTCTTTTGACCATTGTTAAATACGTGTGGTAAGATACGTATTGGATTTGATTAATATCGTCGAGTGGTTAATTCATGTAGGTTCCCTGTTTTGTGCAAAGCCGATGAAATCATTTAGTGGCCTGTTTAGTCTTATTTGTTTATCGATTAATTGTTATATGTTATAGCTAGTATAGTTGATTGCGTAAGTGTCGTCGATTGATTTTTCATGCTTGGATGCTAGAAAGCCTGTTCCATTTTTTAGTAGGGTTTCTACCCTGTTTCTCTGTTCTAGTGTTGTGATTAAGAACCAGCCTGCTAATTGTTTGAACATGTGATTGATCCTCATTTCTGCTTGCGTTATCAACTCAGTCCCTCTGATTGATGCCCCTCTTGTTGATTTGGTCTAATTTCCTGCATTGAATCTGTGTGAGTTAGTATTAGGATGTTGGTTTATAGCCGTAAATGAGCAATTAGGAGATAGTTAGAAATCAGTTTTGGTCAGTTGTTGAGTTTTAACTTTTATAGGTTTAAACTTCAGACTTCTAAAACTTAGGGTAATACAGTAATAATCAGTGGATTCAGGGTTAATTTGAGGTGTCAAAGTCTGACAAATGTTTAGTATTAGTGGGCTGTCAATAGGGTATTAAAATACCTTTAAACTGATACATTGTTTAAGAATAGTGGGGAACAATATTTAATGGCATGGGGAGTTTGATTAAGATAAGTTAAAATGCCCATCACTTTGATTAAAAAGGAGAAAAACATGCAGTATGAGGGCTGTCAGGAATATCATGGGCATTTTCTGATTAGTTTTAGCATGTTTAAGGGGTATGGGCAGAGTTAAGGTATCAAGGCAGCCTGGTGCTTGCCTATTTTTGCCTATAAAGAGGCTCATTTAGAAAAGAA